CTGCGCATTACACTAACGCAGATCACTTAAACTGGGTCACATGTGGGAGAAACACAAACCAAACGTCGTTAGATTAACGTCGATTAAATTTACCTTTTTATTGGGCTTTGACTGAACACCTCCACAGGCTAACCCAGGTTGAAACAGGTTATCAGCCCAGCGGGGCCAGGTACCGTTAGCATAGCAATCGCTAAGTTATCAGCTAACGCTAGCACTAGCTGGCTAGCTTGGTTAGCACGGTGCATCTTCACCTGAACTGATATTAACAGGGATGCACTTACCGGAAAAAAGTGAACCGCTGACTCTTTCTTTTAGGACAACTGAACGCCGAGCAAGATATTTTCAGGCAGACATGTTGGAGCTAATTTTGAAGAACTGAATGAGTCACCTAAGAGAAGTTCAGTGAATTTATATCCTGCAAAAATATCAGGTAAAAAAACATTTACTCTATTGTTTTTATGACGTTATTTGTGTTCATGTCGTTTGTTTCGGTTTAAAAATAGATAAACAAGTGCCATTAAGTATGTGTGTTTATACTGCGTCATTAACGTGTGTTAAAGTGAAAAGCTAACCGTGATTAGCACGCTGGCCATAACAGCATTTTTTCTCAATGTAGAAGTAGCTAATTTTACTATGTGTTGCTAGTATGTGTTAATGTTGTCAGCTGGTGTAAACCTTAAACGAACACAGCATGAGAGGTAAATGAGTGAAGTGAATGAGTAAAGTGACTGAGAACACTGTTTTGTACACTTAGACAGAGAGGACAAGGAAACACATTGAGGAGAAGAAGTCTAAACTGAACCGATAACAGAAACTCCAGAGACTGGCGTTAAGACACTGACGTCAGCACGTAAACGGTCACTCACTGCTGGTAATCAAAGGTAATGTACTCTGAGTAAACGCTACATTTTTAAAAGGGGATGATAATAATAGTATATGATAAAAGTATTAAACAACATCTTTAGGCTGCCAGGGAGCCAGTATCAGTTCCCAGGTGAAAACAGCACCAAAAGCAATCAATTCATTCCAGTTAGGCTCTTTGCAGCCTGTGCATACAGCTGATAATTATTAATGCACACTCAGTTGACAATTTATTAGGAACATCTAGCTAAAACTGATAAAGTCTAATACAACAGCCCTGTACTAAATCTTTCATGAAGATTATACTGTTTATACAGAGGTGTTTCTGTTATTTAGCCTACCTTTGTTGATATAAATGGGTTGGACAAAATAATAGAAACTTATAAACTTATATAATTGCTTGTAATACCAAGCAATACACCATGAATTAATGCATCCAAGTTTATGTTAAGTTCTATGTGCTTCTATACAGTACATAATATATACAGTTCATCATACTATTTGCCTTTTTTAATCCTAATAAGTAACATACATTATGTTTGATCATAATAATTTAGGAAAAATCTGTGAAATAACAGTTTTTCTCTGCAGAACTACAAGTGGCATCTTTGATCATAATGAATTAGGATAAATAACAGTTTTTCTCTGTAGAAATATTAATGAAACTTTCTGTAAAATGTATTGTTTATACACTTTATTTGAATTAGGATATTTTACTTTAATATTACAGTTTTTGTTTGGCAGCCACTGCTGCCAATCATTTGACCATTATTTTTACGATTTCTTTTTTACAGTGTAGTATGTAACAGTGCATGAGCAGCATGTTGCAGATTTTTTTCACATTCCTTGTTTTTAGCCACGCTAGCTGCATGGTTATATTTTATGGTTAGCAGTGGTGGTCTGTTGGCCAGTCAATGTACCACTTTGGTCCATAAAAAATTGATTTGTCCATTTATTCAATTTATTTACCAAATACTTGTAAAGCTAATGGTATGTCCATCATCCTCGGATGTACTTTATACAAATTAGCAAATATTAGCATGCTAAATGGTGGACATGATAACCATTCCTGTCTCAGTGCTGTTTATTTCTGCCATTCGGCCTCTGTCTCCGGCCACTCTCCATCCACTCACCAGACTCCCCACACCCACCTGCTCACCTGTCTCTCATTCCCTAATCACCCAATCCTGACTCCCACACCCACCTCACCTGTTTCCCATAATGAGCTCACTGTGTCTATACACCAGCCGGGTTTCACCGGTCATTTGCCAGATTATTGTGTCAGCCATGTTGTTGTGTTCTTGCAGTGCTGTACCTGATAGCATGCTGATGTTAGCATTTAGCTCAAAGCACTGCAGTGCCAAATTATGGCCACACTGAGTCACTAGCATGGCTGTAAACTCTTAGTCTTAGTCTAAACACACAGTTAATTTTTAATTAGAGCATACAGCAGCAGTTATAGTGCTTTTTTACCCTTTAAAACAAAAGAACCTGCAACACATTGTCGTCTTATACCCTTTGTAAACCAAAATTATAGTGTATAAGTGGAATTTTTAATGCAGTTAAAGTCAAGTTTGCCTTTCTGTTTGCAAGCCCCACCCCAGAGGTTCTTGTACTTGTACAGAGTTGTACCTCCCGAACCAGGACTTTTTTTTTGGGGGGGGGGTAAATTAAATTTCATCTGAAATAAATTTCCACCACAGTCTTTGTGGTGGAAATGCACAGAGTTCCTCCAAAGGTTCCTAGTTCCCGGGGAAAGATCCTGCGGTGGAAACACAGCTAGAGAGACATGAAAGAAAAATATCCTTCCCTGCAGTGGTCACTGACCATTTTTTCAGTGTAATGCCTGATGTGATGTCAACATTTCCGAATGAAGATCATTTTGCAAATGAATCTAAATTTAGGTGCCTATATAAAAATACCCTTTTGCCAAGTTCACCACAGTATCCTCAGAAGACATTAGTAATGATCTGGATAACTTAGTTTGATAGCTGGAAAGAATTTTACCAAGGATATATAAAGTTATACATTTAAAACCTCCTCTGTTTTTTGTGAGATCCATTCATGCATAGATTACAATGATGAATAGCCTATGTTATAGCTTTCAAAATAAAATGTGGATATGTCAGGCCTACGCAGTCATTGCAGGCTTGCACAGGGTTTCACAATAATCTAAAACAGACAACAATAATGTGAACTGAACAGGATTTTCTTTTTCTAGCTGCAAAATGAAAGTAAAGTGAAAAAGGAAAAAAATACTGATTGATTTGACTGATGTTTGATCAGTTACAAACTTCTTGATCTTTTTAAAGTTTCTTATTTACCTCTTATTCAGTGTTTTAAGTAACAAGTTCTTTCAAAACACAAAACAGAGTCTGACTCTCTGTGGCTCTGTTATGCTGTCATGCTGCCAATTTACAATAAAATGTGTTAATCTTTCGGACAAGGCACTGATACTTTCGTGGTATGTAGCTACCGTACTGTATGTAGTTACAGACCTGAAATCGAGCACAACAAAAGCTTTAATTCAGCGCTCAGCACTATTTAAAGTCGTTCAAACTGTTAAGTCTGCTAGAGCCAGAGAAATGCTCAGCTCCATTTCTTACAACATTCAAGAGACAGAGCTAAGTGCTCCACCTGAAGGGAGAGATCAATAGCTAAGTACAGCACAGCAGCTGCCCTGACAACCTGTCTTCTACCCACCCCCATGTCTCGTGCGGCAGTGAGGAAATCAAAACATCAACTGTTCGGAGGTCTTGCACATGTCAACCTGACAACCGTTTCTGTCATTTTGAAAATTTTGACAAACAAATTTTTGCGGTCGTGTTTCTCTGCATCGTTTCCCAGAATATTGTTGCAGCTGCCGCCAAGGCTGATGTCTGTGCTGCAGCTGTATTTTAACAAAAGCTTCATGCTGTTGAGAGCTTGCATATGTTTTTTTTTTGTTGTTTGTTTTTTCTTAAATATAAAGCATTCTGAGTGTCCTCAGTGGTATTGTGACTAAATTCAAAATAAGAAAGTTTTACCTTCTTGAAAACTTGCTAAACATTTTATGATAATCCATCTTTCAGATCTTGAGGTTCCTTCATTTATAGTAAAATTGAGTTCTGAATGTGGCAGTAAAGAAAAGGTCAGGGTTCACAAAAAACAACAACAACAAAACACATTAGGATTCAACCTCAGGACAATGAATTTCTGCTTTTCAGTATCTTGTTTCCCGTGTAAAACTGAATAGAGGAAAGACAGTATCAGTCTGTCGCTCCACCACTTTGGTCCAGATTGAAATAACTCAACAGCTATTAGATGGACTGCAATTATATTTTGTACAGACATTCACGGTCCCCAGATGATGAATCCTAATGACTCTGGTCATCCATTGACTCTTTTTTTTTAATCGTAGCATCACTGTGAGGCTCACATTTGTGTTTTTTTTAAAATGTCTTAACAACTATGGAACAGATTGCCTTAAAATCTGGGTCAGAGATTCATGATCAGTAATCGGTTTGACTTTTCATCTAATTAAGTCAAAATTTCAGCTGGTACTACAAATACAAATACTGACAATATTTTGTAGGTGTTTGTGGCCAAATACCCACAAAACTAATGCAGTGCTTTGTAACACAGATGATTTTTATTCTAAAAAAAAAAAACTATTGATTTTACTCTATAGGATCATAGAACATGAATGCCCTCAATAGTCAGTGTGCTTGAAGTGTTGGTTGGCTGCTCTGTGCACCTCTGAGTTTGCACTTTTGAAATCTGCAACATAGTTTACCTTGTGTCTCTGTCACGTAACACTGCTACTCATTTGACCTCAGTGGGAAGTTAATCTGTGGGAAAAGGGAACAGAAATCAGAGAAAATGAAAGTCTGGAGCCTGAGAGAGAATGAGCGGTGAGAGCAAAAGGAGATAAAAAGGAAACAAACCGCTTCACTGTGGTTACGCTGAATTATTTTGGCCGAAATTTACCTCAAATCTGACCTGAGAATGTGGACATATGATACATCTGTGAGGATTATTTTAGACCAATCGGAGATAAGTTTAAGTCAAGCATTTGATGACATTGGCAAAAGGAGCGTCCGGTTCCTGCGCAATAAATAAGTACATACAATCATTTCTGCTGTGTTTTTTACAACTCGGTGGCAACAGCTGAACATGAATGCACTTGTACTGACAGTGATTTCTTCTTACCTTCTCAGATCCGAGGTAAGTGCACATTCAGAGGGCTTGTTTTCTGCTTACATGACTGAATATTGAATTTTAAGTAAATATTTTGAAAATTCAATTCAATCTACTAAGAATATATACATATATATATATGTGTGTCTGTAATGTAGACATATCAAGTAAAATAAATTATCTCGTTAAAACTTCAATGTTTGAGTTACCTCACACAAGATGAATTTTGTGCACGGACAAAAGACAACAAGAATGCTTTATTTTATTAGCACTGTTAGTATTAATTTATTTATTTTAATATAAATGCATTTTCTTATTAGACCAACAGCTACCCAACACTTGTATATCCTCAACATAACTGATTGAAACTTACTTAAAAATTAAAAAACGGAAGACTGTGAGTCTAAAAACTAATACCAGTGTCTCTGTGGTTTTAACAGTGAAACCACTATCAGAATGGATTCAATGGAAATTGATGATGACATATATATAAATAAGAGCCTCACAATGGAAGGCCTTGTTACCAAAGGTACAGTATCACCTTGCAAACAAATGCACAGACGGAGAATTATGTTGGAACCTAACCTGTTGCTCATCTTAAATTTTTCAAGAACTATCTAACTTTTTAATATGAACTTTTTTCATATGTAGTTCATAAAAGCTTTTATATTCTGCTCTAGTGAAGTGGTAACCCTGTCTCCTGGAAATTATGTTTACATATTATTAAATTATCTTTGCCCGCACAACATAATTGGGATGGATGATGGACACATAAAGGGCAGGACTTTGACTCCAGAGTCTGGAGTTTGTAACCAGGTCTGCATGCATGTGGTCTGGTTAGGTTTAAAAGCACTTTGGTTAAGGTTAGGGAAAAATCATGGTTTTGGTTAAATGTTGATCTTCACCATATTTGCAACTTGCCAGGTACGTTAATTAACAACTTTAATTTAATAATAGAGAATGTAATCTGAACAGTATTACTTTTACCCTTAAAAAGTATTTGCTGTTGCAAATTCTATGTACATAAATACCATTTCTTGGAGACACAGTTGAAATAAGAGATGCAGAGATGATGTCTTTGTTTTCATCATTAAAGAAGCAATAATTTTCCAGCACTTGATTTTAATGTGATGAAAAAATCTATTAGCACAATACCATTAAGTAACAGAGTGGTGATGTTTTTCCCATGATTAAAAATCAAGAAAAAAAAGCACCATATCTGAAATTATGAAAAAATCTGATAGATGATAATCTGATAGAAAATTAACTTTTAACTTTTTTTTGTTGTTTGTTTGTTTGATTTTTTTTTTTTAAACTTTTTTGATTTAGTGGATTTTCAGAAAAGAAAACAGCCCTGCAGATGTGCGACTGTGTGTCTTTGGTTGCTGTGTGCTGTCCTGTTAGCTGGTAATATAGCACAAATTATCTACTGTAAGTGACTTTTTAAATAGAACTAGAATAACAGAAACAACAAACATCCAGCAAATCCAAGCAAATACTTAAATACTAGTGAATTATTTTTTTTCTTCACAGATGAGATAATCACTGGTCGCTCATCGACTGTGCAGGCCTGTTACAACACTCAAGAGAGCCAGCATCTCCAAAACGAAAGTGACACCCTGACTGCAGAAAGAGACAAAGCGCAGAGCAATTATGATTCTTTAACTGCAGAGAGGAAACAATTGGAGACAAGACTGAGCAACCTGACTAAAGAAAAAGACGAGCTGCAGCAAAGCTTCAGTTCTGTGACTGCAGAAAGAGACAAAGTGCAGAACAATTATGATTCTTTAACTGCAGAGAGGACACAATTAGAGACCAGACTGAGCGACCTGACTAAAGAAAAACACGAGCTGCAGCAAAGCTTCAATTCTGTGACTGCAGAGAGAGACAAAGTGCAGAACAATTATGATTCTTTAACTGCAGAGAGGACACAATTAGAGACCAGACTGAGCGACCTGACTAAAGAAAAAAACGAGCTGCAGCAAAGCTTCAGTTCTGTGACTGCAGAAAGAGATGAGTTCAAGGCCGGTTTCAACAATCTGAAAAACGTACGAGACCGCTTACAAGCAAATTACAGCGCCTTAAAACAACAGAGCGACCAGTTACGGACGAGCTATAACGACATGCAGAGAAATCTTGAAGGGTTACAGACTAAACACAGTAATGTGACAGCGACTAAAGACCGGCTACAGGCCAAATACAGTAACCTGCAAAGACAAAAAGATGAGTTACAGACTCGTTTCGGGACGCTGATAGCAAACATAGATCAGTTACAGACCAATTACTCCTCACTGAGGAGGGACAAGGACCAGTTGCAAAGGAGCTACAATACCCTGAGTGCAAGTAAAAATAGCATTGAGACCAGCTACAATTCACTGTGGAAAGAAAAAGATCAATTGCAAAGCAGATATAATTCTCTGTGGAGGGCAAAAGACTGGTTACAGACCAATTACAGCAGTTTGTTGGCAGACAGAGACCAGTTACAGGACAGGGCCGAAAGGCTGAAGGTTAAATTAAGGGGTAAGATTTTTCTACGTATTTATTTAGTTAACAATTATATATTGTGTTTTGATATTTGGTGTGACATTTCGGTGTGATGTTTTCATTATGCAGGTGTTCCCTGTAAGTTAGGCTGGAAGAAGTTTGATATCAGCTGTTATTTCATTTCAACCATGAAGAGGAACTGGACGGAAAGCAGAAAATCCTGCAAGGCCCAGGGAACAGATCTGGTGGTCATAGAAAGCAGGGAGGAACAGGTGAGAAAGAGGAAGATGTTGGGGAGATTAAAAGCTGTGTCCAAATTCGGGAGCCGGCATCCTTCAGGAGGCTGGATTCACAGACCGATTGTGTCACAGCGGCACGACTAGGCTGTCCCATTTTAAAAGCTCATTCAAACGCATCTTTCTTTTTCTGGGCAACGAAGGCTCCACCGTGAATCCTTCATGGCCAACTCATCCGAAAGGGCCACACCTTTCGTAGACTGCATACTGCAAAGGATGCGGCTCCTGAATTGGGACACAGCTTAAGAGTCTCCAGCCATGCTACCTTCTCCGTGAGGGTTAACGTAGGCCCAGCACTTTGAGATAAATATCAGTGTTAACAGGCCCACAATGTCGATGCCAACATCCTGATGTTTGGCAGATACAGATACCATTTTCATTTGATCATAAACCTGGGGGGGGGGTGGGACCAAAATCACAAATGTTAAAGTCATGGTGGCGCTAGAGGAAAAACCAGAGGATCAACACAGTCATATGATTCATCAGCTGGGAACCGTCAGTGTCTGTTCAAAAACTGGTCCCAGGATGTCCAGTACATGTAGAGATATCTTACTGAATAAGAGAAGATTATGTGTGAGGCAAAAACAGGGGACCCCCCCCCAGACATTAAGTGTCCATCCTCTGGACACTGCAAACCTAACTTCATGCTAATCCATCCAACAGTTATCTACTTGTACCAGTCTTGCAGTTTGTACCTTCTGTCTGTGCCACATCAACAGGTATTTGTTAACGGGGTCCTGAAGAAAGGCCAAAATGCCTGGATTGGTCTGACTGACAAACAAAAAGAGGGGAACTGGATGTGGGTGGACGGCACCCCACTCATCACAAAGTAAGTTTCAGCTGTATATATATCACCTATTAAAAGTCATGACGTTTGATCATAGTACAATTGGACAGACTCCTTAATTAATCATCTTAAGAAACTCCACAGCTTGGTAATATTACATTCATTCAGTGTTTATATGCTTTTATTTTACTTTTGAGAGCATCTCAAACACAGCAACTGAATGCATGTAATACTAATATTATCTATGGTTATGAAGGTCCCCTGATAAGAATCTTATTTGACCTGCAGCTTAATTTCTGATAAAATCTGTTTTGGTTTCTGTCCCTAATGAAACGATGCGGTACATGAAAACATGGAGGAAGGTTTTGCAAGTTTCCACAAAGCACTGCACACTCAGCTCAAAGACCTGGCTCGCTGAATCAGGAGGTGATGTGTCGTCAATCTGAGACCTTGCACAACTGCAGAGAGAGATGTTGATTTCAGCGAAAATTCATTATCTAGTGAAAATGTGCATGAAAACATGCAGAGGTGGCATCGGGGGCACTTTCAAAATTACATGGTGGCTCTACCCAGTACTATTTCTATGCAAATGAGACTGGGTTTCAATCCCTTCAGTCACAGTTTGGGTCAGAACCAACAGGGAACAGTGGCTGAGAAACTAAAGCTGGGCGCTGTAAAATAGTTTGTATCTGTTATCTTGTGTATCAGGTTCTGGCAGATCGGCCAGCCCAACAGCTACAACGGGAACCAGGACTGTGCAGAAATCGTGCAGGACACATCACTGGGGGAATGGAACGACGACGGCTGTTTCGCTGAACAGATCTGGATCTGTGAGAATTAAGATCCCAATGATTTACACTGTTGACAAAGGTGTGTGGCTTTGGACTGTCTAATGTTTATCTTGAATGTTTAAGCCTGGTGATTCACTTTATTGTTCAACTGTCAACAAACCCTGTGAAAAGACGAAACCAACTGAGTCAATCCCACAAACACGTATTGTGTGTATCTGTGCATGCGCGCGCGTGTGTGTGTGTGTGTGTGTGTGTGTGTGTGTGTGTGTGTGTGTGTGTGTGTGTCTTATTCCTCTGTGCCACAGACCTCAGTTTTTGTACACAAACTATAAAAAAACATGTCAGTGACCCACACTATTGCACTGGGTGACATGTTCTTTCATTAGCATAAACACACACACATTGTAGATCATTTTCACTCCCACACATACCATCCTGTCATCTGAAATTACTCATCCGCAGCTGAAAATAGTCCCCAACAAATGCAGTATTTCCTTCTGTTTGAGTAATGTTTGCTAAAACCTGCAGTGCTCAGCTATTTTAGGAAATTACAGAGCCATTTTAAAAAACGATAACACACTGTACATTCTTGTGTACTCTTTGTAAAGCTTGTCATCTTCAGTGGAAACCAGTGGGCTCAGAGCCGAGTACCACAAAAGAAGTCGGAAAGTACTGAGAGACAAACACATCGTCGGTTTTAGTCTTTTTTTAAAGGGATTTGTTGACAACAAAACATATTTCTCACATTTCCAGTCTTATAGTTGGATGTCGTCCTGTAGATAGCTTTGGTGTTATTTGCTAAGGTTTGGTTTTTACAACTAAAAAAAACGAAATGGAATTTGCGTTTGTGCTATGTGTTGTTGCTGTTACAATCAGAAAGTGTCACTTTAATTCTGGCTAATCCACAGAAAACAATATAGATTTTCATAGAACTATAAGACAAGCTCCAAATGCTTTTTACATTTTTTTTTTTTTTGAAATTTAAAGCAGTATTTTATAATGTGTTTTTCTTTTAAGCTGTAACCGCTGTGATGCTTTAATAGACACATCACATGGCAGGAAGGAGGACATACACAAATGGGCTGTGCACCCATTCTTCACTGATAGGCTACAGTTTAACCAAAATCATTACATTTTGTTTTTTTTTCAGCAATATACAATTTTTCTTTTTACTTTTTGTGTTTTTTGACATTTAAACTGATGCAGAGAATATCTAATATTTTCATTAATGTAATATTTAGTTGATGATTTATGTTTCTTGATTGTACAAAAACTGATTTTGCTCTCCTATAATATTCTGTGGCCTTTGGCATAGCTTGAGAATCTGTGTGATTAATTAATTAAGTATGTAAATTAATGTATATTACAAACAATACATGCCTCAAAACACATAAATACAGCATTTGCATATGATATTAATTATTTACTCCTCCACCCTGTATTGATTAGATGACACTGGTGAAATACGCTCCGTAGCACAAACTAATTTCCCTCTCTGTATTTTCCCATGGAAATGTGCTGTTTGAATTTGAGTTGTGTGAGCAATTAGATGGCATAGCTGAATTAATTATTCATTCTCTTCCCTGGGAACTTAAATGGCAACTATCCCCTGAATGTTTACAATGAATTCAGTCTCAAGAATTACACAAAGTTTTCCTACAATAATGGAATAAAAACTTTTTCTGTGGAGGATAACGCAGATAATGCACTGAACTACACCAAGTAAGATCTAAGAGACGATACAGATCGACATGCAGTAATGTGTAGGTTTGGTGTCTTGCTTTATGGGGATCTTTGCAGGAAAAACTGGTTGTTGAAATCACATTTATTTTCTACCCAGGTACTCAAGTAAACTATTTTTGTGTCAACATGCAGATGTCATAAGAAGGTAAAAATAATCCAGTTTAGCTCCCACTCTGACAAATCTGTTCACACTTGTTGGCCTACTTCCCTGCATGAAACTGGCCTCTGTTGCCTAGAAACATTTCCTCAATCAAGCCTGCACACTGAGCAAGGCATTAGCTGAAATGTTGCAATGTGCCATATACATATATAATTATATATCTTGTAGTAACCATGGCGACGTAAATGGCGATAAAAGGCGAAATAAATCTCATAGAGAATAAATGGGGAGATGAGGTGAAAACAGCCAAACCCACACATCTTTGGAGCTCTACTGCTGCTTCATACTTCATTGTAGAAAAATGGTATAAACCTTAAACGGGTCACGAGACTTGAGACTCTTTTGGGTTGAATCAGTATTTTGACAACTATTACAGTTTTCACAAAATCGCAGTTTACGTTTTGTATCACTTTTAGAGAGTTTCAGATTGTATAATCAGTGTGTATTGCACAGAATGTTCAGAGCTAGAGTGGATGACATCACGTGCACTCTAACTGCCATCCCTGAAAATTTTCCTCAAAAAAAAACCAAAATACTCTTTTAAATCCCACAATTTCCAACCTTCATTGACAGTGTTTTATTAAAAATGTAGAGATTTTTTTCCTGTATCACCTAGTTTTAGTCTCATTCTGACATCTTTTAAAGTTTTTGAGGAAATCCCCTGAGGAAAAGTGCAGAGAGGACTGTCCACAGCTTTCTTTCACAAACTTTCCCACGACTGTTTTTGGCTAATTACACTGATTAAATCAGGGCTTTTTTTTAAATTTTTTTTACTGTTGTCCATGTTGTTCTGTTTTAGCTGGAGAAATCACAGTAGCTTTATTGCAGATCAACTTCTGTTAGGACATGTACATGTGTGAATACATGTCTTGCTGTGGTTGTGTGGATAAATTAAATCATTGTGAGGTCATTATGGCCAATCCTCACAGTTTCAACGAGCTTTTTGAGGGAAACCTGCAGTGACTGAGGTCAGAATTAGGATGGTTCTCTACGACATGAATGAAACTCAAAGTAAACTCGTGTGATGGATATGCACCGAGCAGCAGGCACATTCAAAATTTCTAGCTATTCATATGTAATTCTGAAACATTTGTTTCGTTCTATTTGATCAAAAAGGTGAATGATGATGTAGGTGTACACACAGTGGAGGGGCAAACACACCACCACCATAGGCACTGGTGGTAATGGTACAGTAGCTGAGGTTCAATGCCCAGTAGGTTAGGAGTGATCATATGTTGTAGCCAGTTCCAGCAAACATAGTTAGCAGTGTTGGTAGCTGAGAGGCCAGTGAGGCACTAGTGGCTCATACTGGTTGATGGAGCCACCTGCACACATAGGGTGGATAACTAGAGCGATGGTGCTAAGCTCTCCATGTTACGGTCTCCCAGCGAAGCTCCTCATCAGTGGGTGAAAGGAAACAGTTGAAATCAGTGTGTCCAAGGGAGGAAACAGGTGTGCTTCTCTGTCACACGGCCCACATCCTCACCAGGTCGAGAGCAGAGTTAGCTGAGACAGGAAGGTAAGAGAAATATTATAGGCTAACTGAAGAGCAACAAGGAGCATTCATGCTTTCAACAATATGGAAAACAACATCTCTTTTTTATGATTATGTTTTTTCAGTTTTCCAGTTTTCTCCCTTTTTTCAAATGCATATGTTAATAAATAATCTTTCAGCAACTGGAATATATATCAAACATCAAGCTTCCCATTAAGAACTTTATATTCTTGTATTCTGCTGATTAAAAAAGTTTTGTAAAGTTTTAAACTAAAAGTTTTAAGAAGGGTAGAATAAATCATTCATGCTATAAATGTGACAAAAGCAGTTGCATACATAATGTACCTCCAAAATTATTATCAAGAATTAAATTATATATTTATTTGCAGAGCTGTTGCATTGTATTGCATTATATCACACAGGTGTCCACCCCCACACGTCACCCTGCTGCACGCTGCACGAGATGACAATGCAGTGACACACAGTGCTGACAATGGTCTCCTCTACCACACCAGACTACATGTTACATAACACGGTGTCAGAAGAAGATGCAGCACGTTTCTCAAATCACTAACATGTGAGCAGGATACGCTGCAGATGTGTTTTGCGGGCAGAGATACCACGCTCCGGCATGTGGCTCTCTTTGGGTGTGGTGGCGGTCGCATTGAGTGCGTCTGCTCTTGAAGGGGGCATCTCAACCATTAATTGGACAAAGCCTTCTCATTCCCCTCCCCAGTGATGAGTCCGATCCAAACCGTCTGTGGTCGTGTGGTGAGATGGGGCTCCCCCCAGGACGTAGGCGGGCTATGAGGTTATGCTTTGGGCCGCCTGGCTAAAAATAAAAAGATCAAGGAGCCTTCACCAGACATGTTGGTCTGGTTACACTCACAGAGCTGGAAAAAGGATTTTAAAAACAGTTGAAAGGTTGTTGCATGTGCATTAGCCTGATGACCTAATGTAGTAAATGAATGCTGTTACTTTTCAAATTACAGTACATAGCAACACAGTAGCAAGCTGAACTGCCATACAAAGTTGAACTAGTAGTAGTGCAGATATTTTTCATAGTTTCCAGTTTTTTAAAAGGTGATACAAACGTAATTGTGTGAACAGTATCTAAGCCTGCAGCCTTTGGTTTTGTAGTTTTGTATTCCACTCAGAAAGTAGAAGCTAGCAAGCTAAACTAACTACACCCTCCACTCTCTCACATTCAGAAGCTAGTTAGCTTAGCTTGCTATTGTTAGCACTGATTCCCACTAATGTTACCTCTCTTCAATGATTTTTGCTGAGTCATCGGCAATTCCTGTGCACTCAGCAATGTGTTTGTTCCACATTATACAAAAACTTTTACTTAGCCAACGTTAGCTGTCTCTGTAGTGGGAATGAGTATTTATACGGCATGGAATTGGGGGAATGGGTAAAATTTGTATGTATGTTTCAGTCTGTGATTGAATTTATAATTTTAATGGTATTAGCAGTATTAGTGTTTGTGCCTGCCTGCAAACTGCAGATGGAAATCTAGATCTGCTACAATACATCTCTTTGTTATTGCTTAATGGTTCCTACACGGTCCCTGTTAAATAAAAGCAATAATCTAAACTGAACTGAACTTTCAAGCACTCCACTGTCCATACATTACTTCACGATTCAAATAATGATGACACCTTAAATTATTTTTGTCTTTAAATGTGTTAAAAACGTCATCCCTTTAGCTGTTTTATGTGAACAGCTCAAACATTACAGCAGTCAACAATTTTACATCAGTGCTCAGGCTACTGCATATTAGGCTGCCATTAATAACACTGATTCTTTAGACTTCTTTATGTTCTATAAATAAACTTTAAACTGAACACAATGTGCTTCTATTTATGATCTGCCAAACTGCAATGCCCCACAATGAACAGCAAAGGGGTAAAAAAAAAAAAAAAGAGAAGACATAATGTTAGTGAGGGCAGCGTCTCTGCAGAGCTTTTCATCTGCAACATCCTGGAGGCTGAAAAGTGTAAATATACATCAGGATTTCATTCAGGTAAACTAAAAGGAGAGCTCTTACACATCTACAACAGCCTCACTTATTCATTTAGGTTGACAAGTCGGATCTATTTTACATAGACAGCTTTAAGCTAACCTCTACTGCTTTTCCAGATGCTGTATGAATGTCGTCAGTATGATTGGATTTCTTTTTTTTTTGTAAGGTTCAACCTCCTTCTACCCCCAGAGGCTGGAGGAATCCATTTCAGTTAAGATGAAAAAAATATGACATTTTCAGCATATAAAAAGCTCAGTGCAACAGTTAAAATAAACCCCAAGAGCAAATCTGTCACTCAAGCGTCACACAATCAAGCCTGCAGAATCCCATGCAAATGGAAAACCCAAAGCACTCGTCTCAAAAATGAAATTAAGATTAATATGTGCTCCCCTGATCGTGTAAAGATTAACTCACATTACTAAACAAAGGCTTTGTTTGTAAGAGCCTTATCTGTTACTGATGCCATTCACATGCCCTGTTGCTGATGAATGCTGTAAAATGGATTATAGTTAACGCACCCTTACAGACAAATAATAGCCTGGCAGTGGTACAAGATTTAAAGCCACACAAGACTGGAGGTGATGGGCGTGCCCAGTGGTCTTTTTATATGGATCAACTCACATTTATGTGACTGAAGACACAGATTTGGGTTGATTGTCTTTATCCACCTTCTGTTTCAAATTAAATTTAAATAAACGGTTTTGTTTGGAATAACAAAAAAACAAAATGTCGATTTGGTAACATCTCCTATTTATAAGTTTATAAGTAGTATAAACATTTAGTCTAACGCACTATAATGTAGTTACAGATTTTTAGATTATATTATTTTGTCACATGCATTTACATTACACCCAGGTACCAATCATTCACAAGAGTTTAAAATACTCAATTATGCTCCATAAGAGGAGTTCCAGTTGTTGATAATAACATCAATAAACACTCAGAAATTTCATTACTATATATCTGCTTACAGCTACATTACATTG